GAGAGAGAGAGAGAGAGAGAGAGAGAGAGAGAGAGGGAGGGAGGAGAGGTGGATTTGAAATTAATTAATGAAAATGAATCAATAGATGAATTACAAATTAATTAATAGCTCCACCATAGAACATATTTTCTGTCTTGTTCCTTGCAGAAAAATTACTCCCCTCCTATTCCTTCTGTCTTTAAGATCTAACTGTTTCTTAATATTACCTTTGCATTAATAAAGACAAATAGAAAAATACTGTTTATAAGTACAAGATAAAAGTTAATTATCCTTATTCGTATTACCATTATCAGGATATTGAAGATGAGTTTGTAATGCTTTCAGTTCTTATTCATTCCTGTTTATTTATCACCAATTCTCGTTAATATGAATCATCCAAGTCCTTAATAAATCTGCAAAGTTTATTTATTAGGAAGTTGTTGAGAAATGTAATTTGCCAGCAGGAAGGAAAGAGCATGAAGCATTAAGAATGTTTACATATGGACAAACTAGCATCATAGTACAGTTTAAAGAGCAAAGAAAGCAAAAGAGACATAACACTAAAAACTCGGATAGTCAGTGATAGTAAGATAATCAAATGGACATATTACTACCCACAAAATGTCATACATTTGGAAAGTGAAGATACAAAAAAACAAAAGATTATAATATAATGAGTAGTCACATGCCTAGACACAGCTGTGATAGGACTGATTTTGTGCTATTAAGTCAGCTTCAACTCCCAGTAACCACATAGATTTTTCCAATGACAGTATGTCACTAACCTGGTTCCACAAGTACACCAGAACATCCTTTAGTTTATTATACAACTAAACTACTTTTTTTACCTCTTCAAGTCTAGGCTTCTGCTCTTACATTGTCACATTTGCATTTACATAGTGCATTTGTTCTTGAATGTTTCTCTATTCATTCACAGTCATTTTTTTTTCTTGTTCCAACTGCTCCATTGTTGGAACAGATTCTCCATGACGTTGTGGCCCACCAGCGGCCTGCGGAGCTGGCAGCAGATTCGGACAGTGAGGAGGTTGGGGAGGAACATGGGCCAGTCCTGGAGTCTGGGGAAGGCTCTGATGAGGGCTCTGAATTGGAGGCAGGGAGGGCCAGAACCGTATGCCAGTTATCAGCTGTTGTCAGAGTCAGACAGCAGTGAGGCAGACAAACAGCTGGAGCCTTTTCCCAGTGTGTTCATGTGCAGAGTTGCCAGACAAAGGGAACAACTAAAGAGCAGGGGTCGACTTGGGAGTAAGGCCAGATGATGTATGGCCCCTCCCAGAGGAAATAAAAGAGGAGTGAAAGGGGAGTGGAGTTTGCAGGAGACAGTTAGTTTGCTAATTGGTTAGTGATTCTCCGAGAGTTCTTGCCACGTTCTGCAGATATAAGCCTGTCAGCTCCCCAAGCCAGATCAGTTGTGTGACTGTAATTCCTCCTTTGAAAAACTTTGCTGGCTGTGAATGAGCAGAATTCACTGTAAATTAATAAAAGGATCTTTTCCGGGACAAGGAGTTTGTTTCATGCTCTTGGAAAGCCTCAGTTAGAACATAGGAAGTGTCCGACCTTAACATGAAACTGAAGTGAGGCATAGCAGCCTCCTATCTGTAGTTGTGTCCTTATTTACAGACTGTTTCTTTAGCCATTTTATTATTGTAAACAAACTGAATTCCATTTGTCTACTTTGTACATTTTTCTACTAATGCTGCATGTATTCAATAAATCTTAATACAAGAACAAGGCATAGAAAAAGACTAAAAATAAAGTATTCTATTAATATAACGCTTATGCTCCAAAAAAGCCAGCTTGGTCTAGTGGTTAAGGAGCTGGGCTAGAAAGCAAGAGACCATGAGTTCAAATCCTGACTTGGCCCTGAAAACTAGCTGAGTGACCTTCGGCCAGTCACACTCTTTGTTAGCCTAACCCACATCACAGGCTTGTTGCTGTGGGGAAAATAGGAGGAAAATGTATGGGTGAATATGCTTTGAATTATTTGTACAAATAATACAGGTGGAATATATAAATAAATAATAAAGTCAAATTCGAGAAATAAATTCCTGCAGCATTAGCATAAATGGGATATTTAATCATTCTTAATCACAGTTTTGTATTCTGATATATTTAAAATAAAGATTTATTGAATTGTGCATTTTACATTGGTTTTAGACAAATATTGATGAGATTTTCAGCAACTAAGCTAATATAACAAATCTAAACATTAAAAAGATATTTGAGCCCTCAAGTAACTTATTAAAAACATCTAAACCTAGTAAGAAGTAGAGCCCTTATTTTCCATCTGCAAACTTTTATGAGAAATAAAAGATTCATTTGTCAGCTATTTTATTAATGGTCTTTTTTTCCCCTCTATGGTGAGCAGACACAAAAGTTTTATGAATTTCCATGCCCTTGCAGAACATTTAGAAAAATATGTCGCTGATTTTGACATAAGCACATTTTAAAAAAAATATCAAGAATCATTAGAAAATAGAATCTTACTGGGATATTTGTTTTTAAATAAATTGTTCATTGAATTAAAAATATTTTACATGGTTTAAGGGCTTTTTAAATGAAATAAACTTAACAGTTTGAAATATTACAGTATTACAAGTATTTTATAAGTATTACAGACCGGTGGTGGCACAGTGTTAGAAGGCAGTACTGCAGACTAACTCACTGCTCACTGCAGGAGTTCGATTCTAAGCGGCTCATGGTTGACTCAGCCTTTCATCCCTCCGAGGTCGATAAAATGAGGACCCACATGAGGACTCTGTAAACAGTTTAGAGACATCTGTAAAGCACTGTGAAGTAGTGCTTTAAATCTAAATGCTATTGCTAATGCTATTTGAATCTGCTTACTGTCAAATCGTAACATTTCAAACACTTTGTAGACCTATGAAAATGTAACTGCTAACTGCCATCTACTATTTATATATTAATCAGTAACTTTAGAAATTACTGTTTAGATGAAAACTTTGTCTTAATGTTTTGTAATAATATTTTGTATATGTGAATTAATACAATTTCTGCAATAATATTTCTTGTTTAGGTGCTGTTTTGTTTATGGGACAAATCACCAAACCTTGAGTAAAGGAAGAGATTCTTTCCTTCTGAAGAAAACTAAAGATTGATGCCTTTGTACTGTTTAAATATTTTTGTACCTGGTTTTTCAGCTATGAACTAGCTTTGGAAATGTTGGTCACCTAGTTTTTGAAAAAGAACTTTAAGTAGCTGGAATTCTTTATGGAAGAATAAAATGCCTTTTTGAAAACATTGTAAAGTTCCTTAAAACTACTGATTAGCTCTCTGTGTTAACAACTTTTGAAAATTTGTTGTTCTATTTCATATTGTCTTTAAACCCAGTTGAAATTAAAGAGACAAGTCTGATTTTGGTTGGCTTATGCCTTTCTACTACTACAATTCAGTAACTGGATGAGGCATTTGCCATTAGAAAGCAATTGAAAGCTTTAGCATTTTTTTTAAATTTTAGATTGTGCATGTTGCTAAGATTTAAACAACTAATGTGCCAATTAATGCCTTTGCATTGGTGTAATGTAAACTTGTCATTGCTAGTATACACTTTCTGTAGATTTAAATTTTATATTTTTTGTACAAAGGAAAATAAAATCATAATGAAAAGGTGAATCTAGTGCAAGAGTCAAAATAATATTGGAGGAAAACAATTACTCACAGTTCAGAAAGTTGAAGGTAAACTGTTGCTAAGATAAAATTTCCATGTGATGAAATAATTCCTGTAAGGAACGACCTGCATTTTGGAATACTGTTAAGTAAAATTTCAAAATGTTCCATTCTGTCTGGATGTTAGTAATTCATTGTATTGTATTGGACAAGAAGGATGTGATGGGTCAGTGGTCAAAGACGCTGAACTTGTCAATTGGAAACTGACAGCCCAGGTTCAAGCTTCTAGTGCCACACAACAAAGTGAGTTCCTATACTGTTCGCAGTTCCTACCCACCTAGCCATTTGAAAGCATGCAACCGCGAGTAGATTAATAGGTACCACATCAATGGGAAGGTAACAACAACCCTGGTATTTTCTAGGGACTCAATTGAAACAAAATGAATTTTAAAAAAAAATACATTCTGCCAATTTTCTACCAGTAGAGCTTAATGACTGGTTCTATTGCCTGAAAACATTTGAAAACTCCCTGTGTTAAATTGGTAAGTTTTATCTATAGCATAAAAAAAAAATGTTCAGTGTAACTTTATTTTATTTAACAATATTTGTATGTCTCTCTATTGCAAGACTCTAAATGATTCACAATATCGAATAGATCATAAAACTGTTACCTTAAAATTACCATATACAAAAATTCTATATAATCTCTATAGACCAAATGTAGCAGCTACAGTTCTTATCAAAGTATTATCTAGATTCCCAAGAAAGATACTGTAATGCTTTTCATCTCTTATAATACAAGGAGAGGGCAATCCCAATTTTTCCATAGGGTTAGAGCAACCAAGGGAAAAGCGAGCCCATATCCTAAACCATATGAGTAAAATGGTGAGCATATAAACAGGGAAGGATAATTCTACTTGAGGAGCCAATCCTGTAGAAATCAAGATCTTCAACCGTAGAGATGAAGCTGATGGTACAGATTACCATACCATATGCTTGTTTACATTAAATACAAGTATTTAATATGTTTCTGATTGTCTTTATTGATGCTTCACACTTTTCCTAATACTCATTAAACAAATGTTGGATCAGAAGGCATACAAATTAGCAAATTGTGACATGATAAAAAATTATACGGTTACTTTCAATATTTTCCTTGATCCTATTTTATGTCTATGTTGAGTGTAGTAATTGATGGAGTTTATTTACACTCTGGGGTAAGGTTTGGCAATAAAAATATTTGTGAAATGGAACCTGGAAACCAAATATTGTCTACTACATTATAATTGCTGAAACAATTCCAGTTACTTTTGAAAGTGAGAATTGTACATTACAGTTAAATTTTACTTGATTAAAATGCTAACTATTTCTAAAAACACATAGAAGAGTGTGAGGAACAGCTGTGTAGTTTTATTAATTTGAGAACAAACTACAACTTGAGTTGCAGAATATTTGTCTTGGAAGGCTCAGTATTGTTATTCCTGGCAACTCTGAAAATGTACTAGTCTGCTTTTGATTTTTTGAATGCTTGCATATCTTTGCCAATAAATTTTACCAGAGGCTGATGTGCGTTCTAGTATGTTATATAAAAGAAATGTAAAAAAAGAACACCAAAGCTTGGTGCTTTTTTCAAGTGTGCAAAAATAAAGAATACCCAGAAAGAGGTAATATCTTGTGGTACACTCGCCTTAGGTCATCATTTTTTTTCACCCAATGATTCTTAGGAGATTTTAAAGTGGAGTTTGCTTTAATCTTGAGCAATTAATTGGGCAAGTTCTAAAAACAAAAATATATCAAATCTACATTCGGACAATTCAGCCATCAGCAGACACACAGAAATAAACAATCTCTATATAACATTCAAATCAGACAATCAAAAGAGAAACAAAAAACTCTTAAACACCTCACCAGAAATCAACACCCAAATGAACAGAGTTTAATGCCAAATTAACACCAGACCAACAATCAAGAAGCAAACAATACTCCAATTAAGAAACTATCAACTCCAGACAAACAAGCTAACCATAAATAACAGTCCAATCAAGGAACCACCAACTCTCCTTCCACCAACAACAGAGCAAGCCATTAGTACAATGATGGCAAACCTATGGAACAGGTGCCAGAAGTGGCCAGCTGGTCTTCATGCGTGCTTGCACACCAGGCGGCTGCTTTTCCATTTTCTAGCACTCCCAAGCGCTCAGGTCAGCTGTTCTTCACGTGCACAAAGACCAGCTGACCAGTGCTGTTATATTAGTATATAACATGAATGCAAATCCTACTCCCTTACTGATGATGTTACCAAGTTTCGTAATGAAACATTGGCAAGATAGCAGCCAAGTTCAAAGATTCCACAAAAATGTATCTAGTAATAAAATTGGTCAAAAGGATTTTATATGCCATTTCATTATTCCAATATGGCCAATTACATTGTCTTCAAAAAAAAGAAATAGGGGAATAGTTGTATTAATTAATGCTTAAATTTTATATATCATCCTTTCATTGTTTAGGCTAATAATTTACATTAGTATTTGGATTTAACAAGCTATTTAAGAAGTGTTATGACGTATCAGTATCAAGGTCATTAATTTATAATGTGGTATTCTAAAACTATCTGTTTTGCATTATTCATTTCTATTGCCTTTAACAACAAAAAAGTGTTTTAATAAAAAAAGAGCCTGACTTGTTTCTTTTACTTTTTTTGCTAAAAGCACCTTTTTTATTGCATATGTTTGAAAATGATTGTCTCCCGCTTATAAAGTTTAAAAACCATTTCTTCAATAGGGCACAACTGTCCTAGTTTGAATAACTTGTTTTCATACAGTGCTGTAAAGCCAAAATACAGCTTCAGCACCATCTTGTGGACAGATCCCTACTCTAACAATGCAAAGAAATTTACATTGCACTATATTGTCATTTCTACTCCAGGTAATCCAGTATTTACAACCGTTTGTTTAGTGACTGATCAAAGTTACAGTGGCACTGAAACAAGTGAGACATTTTTCATAACTATAATTGTTATAGCATCCTCATGGTCACGTGATCAAAATTCAGATCCTTGGCAACTGCTTCATACTAATAACAGTTGCAATGTTATCTGATCACCTTTTGCAATCTTTTGACAAGCTGAGTCAATGAGAAGCTAGATTCACTTAATAACTATGTTATTAACTTAACAACTGCAATGATTCACTTAACAGCCACAGGAAGAAAGGTTGTAAAATGGGGCATAATTCATTTAACAACTATCTTGCTTAGAAATTTTGGACTCAATTGTGATAAATTGAGGACTATCTGTATTGAATTAATTGCACATCATTACAAATAATTACAAACAGAGAAAAAAGTTGATGTCATTTGCTGTACTTGAACTTGCTATAATGCACAGGAAAAGTTAGCACTGAAATATTGTATTTGCTATTAAATGCTCTTTTATGTACAAGTATTCTGACTGAAAACAGTGGAAAACATGATAATGAAGGAAAGGCAGTATGTTTTACTACTTTTCAAATATTTGAACGGCTGTCTCAAACATAAAACACTTCTGCCCCAGAAATAAATAAAATACAATCAAAAGAAAAGACAATTTGATTAAAGGCTAAATGAATTATCCCGTCATTTCACAAATAAACAAGGAATGGGGATCTATTAGTGATGTCATGGATCTCCTGTATTGATAATGGCTGGCTTTAATAAGGCGAAATATAACTATCTTGCTGAAGTAAATTTGGCAATAATTAGTTGAAGACAACTCGGGAACCTGTGTATACATTGTTTTGAGTTTCTCTCATTATCACCTTACTTCCACCACCTGAAAGAACTACACAGCTAACCTTTCCCTTGGACTAAAAAAATAATCTAATCTTTGTTATACAATACAAATACAATAGTACAATGCTAATTCCTATGCAAAATAGTTTCAGGAAAATATTGATTTTCATAAATGAAAGCGAATATACATGTCCCAGAATAATATTGCTACTCTTTATCCAGTTTTCTTCTACTACTTTTTGGGGACTAGATTTTAAAATGACATTTTTTTCCTTGAAAGGATTTAGAGAAGTTCCACTCTGTAAATTTCCTTGGGAGAGCTAGGTTTGGCTCAAAGGCCTTTCTGTTCCTAGCTGACTCAGTAAACATGGAAAGGGTTTGTCCTGTAACTTCAAAGACATATATTATTTTGCCCTCCCATTCTACAATAAAACTTTTGATGAAATCATGCCCTCTTTCCCTACTTAGATATGAATGCAACTGCTAGTCAGCAAAGAAAAATATATTTTCCTTTCTGGTAACAGGCTCACTTTCATGCATTGTTCAGCAGCTTCCTTTCCCAAGTGCAGTTCTTCAACTTCCAACTGCTTTGCAATATAAATTTAAAAAAAATGACAGCACATTTTTAAAAAATCTATACCTAATGATGGTTTTTATTAAAGGCCCACATTACATTAAAGTGCACCAATAGAAATACAATAAGTTTCAGTAATTCAAACCTATCATATTTAAATTAGGGGTGATTAGGAAAAGTTCTCAGGAAAAGTTTGTGACTGGCCATGGACAACATTCCTTCAGGCCTTTCTGTCCTCTACCATCCTCTGGAGGCAATTTAACTCCCCACTGCTTCAGTGACTCCATCCAGCCACCTCATTCTCTGTTGTCCCTTTCTTCTTTTGCCCTAAATTTTTCCCAGCATTAGGCTCTTCTCCAGTGAGTCCTTCCTTCTCATTTGGTCCCCAAACTGTTTTGAGTTTCATCTTCAGAATCTGGCCTTCTAAAGAGCAGTCAGGGTTGATCTCCTCTAGAACTGACTGGTTTGATCGTCTTGCAGTGCAAGGGACTCACAGGAGTCTTCTCCAGCACCATGGAGGACATATGAGGACATACAGTGGCTTAAGTATCAGGCCTTTTGCTATGCATGGCTTTATAAGTGAAAACCAACTCCTTGAATTGCAGTCAAAAGCAACCAAGGCAGCAGAAACACATGCACATATTGTGACACACCCATTGCTATCCTTGCCACTGCATTCTGGACCAGTTTTTTTCCTGGTTGGCAGCCCCATGTAGAGCACTTTGCAGCAATCCAACCGAGAGGTGGCACAGCCTGAAGAGCTGTGCATTAAAGTCCTTCAATTACTTGTCACTTTTGTTAGTAAATACCAGATTTTTCTGGGGTTTTACTCCTAAGTATCACCAGTAAAAGACTTTTCGTCTTTTGTAGGCTTGAGCTGGCTGGGGATTTCTGGGAGTTGAAGTCCACACATCTTCAAGGTGGAGAAACCTTGTTTTACACAAAAGGTCTTGTCGGCCACCCACCCCATACCTAAAGACATTTGATCTATATACTTCTCATGTCTGTAACCCGATTGCGAAGTTCCGCTCACAACTCTTCAAATGAGCGACCTTCCGGCCGCGCCGGCCTTCCCCACCCATCTTATTTCCCCACCCAGCGGCCCCGCGTTGCCTCCGCTACCCCGGTCAATCTCGCCTTCCCCTCCCAACTCCGATTACTTCCGGGGGCGGCGCTACTTCGGTCATTACGGAAAATGGCTGGCCGCTGAGGCTTTCTGGGGGCGCCGCTATTCCCACGATTAGGGCCAAGCTCTCTCGCTCGCTCTCTCTTCTGGGCGGCTGCTTGGACTTGGCCGACCGCGGCCTGCTGGGCGAGATGGCGGCCGAGATTCACTCGCGGCCTCAGAGCAGCCGGCCGGTGCTGCTGAGCAAGATCGAGGGGCATCAGGACGCCGTCACCGCCGCGCTCGCGATCCCCAAAGAGGATGGCATCATTACGGCCAGCGAGGACAGGTGGGGAAGCGACGGCGGCGGAGGAAAGACGCTTCCCCGGAGAGGGTCGCGCGGGGTCGGCCGCCGCTTCTTTTCCCTCTCCGAGGAACGGGCGGGAAAGGCGCGCTGCGCTCGGGATAACCAAAACAACAAGAAGAAACCACAACTCAGTGCAATTGTTTAAGACCCCTGAGCTGTTTCGGGTCTTTGCTCCGAAGGGACCTTCCCTTTCCTGCGAAGCGGCATGC